ATATAGTATAACACTGGGCTAAATTCTACTTAAGATATAAATACATTGAAAACCCGTAAAATATTCGATAAAAAGTGATACGGCTAGATTTCCTATCGGATTCTGAATATTCATGTGACAGCCGACGTATAACACAAAACATATTATTTATTTTACATTTTTACTTCTTTATTTTGATGATACGGAGTGCGGGCTGTTATTAAGAAAAAAATATATACTTCAACATAGCTTTTTGTATCCTAAGTAAGTAATTTTATACTTTGATTAAATTTTACGGTAAATTTGCTACTCCTGGTTTTTATTTATTTGATAAATTGTAAGTGAAAGTACTTTATTAGTATATCAGATAATGACAAAAAAGATTTAAATGATTATGATTTATATGAAGAAATATTAATTTTCCGCCATTTAATTGATAAAAATACTATACCACTTCAAGTACTATCTGAAGTAAAAAAAACCAACATATTTCCAAACCTTGCATTTCGAATTATGTTAACAATTGCGATTACGTCAGCTGGAGCAGAGAGAACATTTTTTAAATTAAAACTTATTAAAACGTATTTACGAAGTACTAAATCACAACAAAGACTTACTGGACTTGCTGCAATTTGTATAGAAAAAGAACTTTCAGAACAACTAAATTATTATGAAGATATTATAAGTGACTTTGCATCCAAAAAAGCTAGAAAAGTTAAAGAATTATAATTTATGATTGACTATATTTTACTATTATGTAGGTACCTATTTAAAATATTATAAATTGTTCAGCACATTATTTTTTTTTTWACTTCTTTTATAAATTAAAGTTATTACTTACCTATTAGTTATTATAAATTTATTTACTAAAATTAATTATTAATAATATTTGTATTTTGAGTTTTTATAATAATGGTTAATAATTTAATATGATAAGTTTATTTTTTATGCAAAAAAAAAATTGGATCGTTTTGATTTTATTTACAATTTACATACTTAACTATTGTACAGTAACTAATTGTTTGTTTTTAAATCAATGGACAAAATTACCTTTTGAAGTAAATATATAATTAATTTAGAATGGGGATGTAATGTATAAGATAGGAGTGAGGGCCCCACATTTTTTATTTGCCCCGGGCCCCGCAAAACCTGCGCCGGCACTGTATCTAATGATGACAATTTTGTATATATGTTTAGTTTTACTCTCAGCGATAAATGAAATCAAGGTAACATACTAATATATACTACATACCTACTCTGAACTCACATATAGTTACATAAAATTTTGTAATAATGTAATATTATCTTTAACTTTTAGTTTTTAGTGGTTCTACAATTCTACGACCGTAATTTGGTACCTAGTCAGGAAAAACTGTGTTATGATGCTTTATGATTATAAGTATGATGAGTAAGGTCATACGTCATACGGAACTAATGCTTAATTTAAGGTCATAATAATCAGCATTAATATTTTCTCAATAAATGATAAATAGGAATTTTTTTTTAATATAACATCAATAAATTAAAGTGTTACGAAAAAAAGAAAGAAACATAATATTATATAGGTAGTACTGCAGTACTTATGTCTTATAACCTATAGGGCTAGGATTTATATGCATTTGCGTTTTTTTCCTTTAGTCCAAATTGATTGATTGTCAGATTTGTCCACGATTTGGCTTATTCTCGTTTAAATAGGACCAATTTTTTTTGCATATTTTTGCATATTTTGGACATAATGCATATAATTGCATATTCATAGATTTTTTTRTAATTCAATATTTTTTAACTAACATTTTTAATTTTCATAAGTTATTGCTAATTTTAAATGGTACTTCACTACATCACTAACCGRCAGTTTTTGGTTTATCCGTTGAATTTTCGTAAATATATAGCATAAATACTACCTATTTTATCTTAGGTCAGATAATATCCGTTCGTTACCTTATMGTTGGTCGGAMGACYGATAGAATTACTTACACAATACACATTGTTATACAGTGAGATAGCACAGAAAAATTGTATTGGTACGTCGTGTGTTGCGTAAATGTGCAGACGTTTATACTTAATAATTTGAATGGTTTWAATAACAGTGTCCAGTATACCGAAAGTTCAAAGTGAAAGTGCCAAGTTACGCCTAATTAAACTAATATTTAATGTAATAATATGAGCTAATAATAAGTAATAAAAAATTATGAATTATAATAAATAATAAAAAAAAATTTGTTTTTGCATATTTTGGTAAATAAAATGCATATTTTACAATTTTTTATTGCATATAAACCCTAGCCCTACTTATAACATATAGCCATATACCTAGGTACGACTAACGACCAGAAAAATATAATAAATAATAATTTATAATAATTGTAAAATACTTATATCCACGAATATGGCGTATTTATGCCAGTTACATACAGGTATGTCGTATGTGCAGCTATATGATGAGTTAAAATATTTGTATAAAACGATAGAAAATCTTGAACGAATACAGAATACTTCAATTTTTAACCGGTTCGTCCAATAACTAATAAGTTTAAAACTTAATAAAAGTATATCAGACGACAGACATCACCATTACATCAACGTTCAACAAGACATCACTGCTCATACTGCTCATAGCTAACATTTATACAAGTTTTTGAAGTACCATCATGACAAGCACACAAAAACGAATATTTTGAAAAAACAAAAACAAAAAATCGATTTTGTGAGCTGAATTGCATTCGTTCATATAGTAATACTTATAATAATATATATATACGATAATAATATGGTATTTACGCTATAGCTATACCACAAAATCAAATATGCACCCATCGCGCGAGTGCGGTTTCACTCAATTTCTCCGGAGAAACCACGAATCTTAGTTCGCGGGGAGAAACTTTACCGGTGTCTGGTGTCTTATCGGTTTCGCTTTTGTTACCGTTATCGTATAATCGTTATCATAGCGGACTTCGTGTGAATTGTTGACTCGATTTTATGCACGTATGCGGATTATCGCATACGATTATTCTATTCTATCGTTTGATGTCACGTGAACGTCTTGAACTAAACTTTTTATTTCGTATACGTTCTTCTACGTGCAGCCCGCTTCCATGTAAGTATATTTTTATATATTCCCATCTGTTTCGTCACTGTAACTCTCTCTCTCTCTCTCATCCCTCTCTTTTTCTCTATGACATAATTAAAAATGTATATTCCATACTTGTATGCGTTCACTTCTTATTTTCGTAACCCGTACGCACACTGGTACTTAACCGATTTACGAACCTCCCGCCTGGATTGAACCGGACGCGTTAATACAGAATGTAGGCGTGTTCGTCGTGCCCGAAATTTCATAATAAAAATCTCGATACAGAACATTAACTTTTATCAAAATAATATGTCTGATGTCGAAAAGTTTAGCTCGTTTGAAGTTGGCCAACGCTTTCGATGCGAACGCAATACAACGCATGTTTTGTGTCTTCGTACGTCGGGCTCGAATACATAAATGATAATAATCATAATAATGACAGCGGCACAGCGGGTACCTAATTACTATAATATAGTCCGCAGCTTACATTTACCGCTCTTCCATCGCCCCACCACCAAACACCCGACAACGACTATGCACGTTTTCCCGTGGCAGTAGGCAGATGAAAGTACGATTTATGTTTCGACGATGATGTTCTTATTACACTAGAAATACCGGATACGAGTTATATTGACCCCATACCACACGAAAACCAAACCGGTTTTTTTTTGTTTTCGTTATTTATTGTCTATCATTATAATAATATTCTTATTTTTTTTATATTTTCATAATATTCTACTCGGTTAATGATTCTGTTCAGAATTGATAAATCACATCCATTGCTGTTGACTTGTGTTCAATCTTCAATCTACTACCGTTGTGTCAAATTGTTGGTATTGTGCTACACATCCGTAAGTTACTAACGTATGTATTTTTACGTACTTATAGATTTGATCAATTTTGTGTTATATGTCTGATGATTATAGATATCATAACTGAATTGCTAATTTATCAGTGTCTTATAAATTTAATACATCCATGCTAATATAAGTATTATTTTTTTCTAGTAATTTTTGTGCTTCATATTTGATAAGAAGAAATATTTCTTTTTCTTACCTGGCATAATGACGTACCAGACAGTTAAAACATTTTACAAAAACAAAAACATATTCCTAACTGGTGGTTCTGGTTTTGTTGGAGTTTCTTACATAGAAAAAGTACTCAGAAGTATGCCGGATGTCGGGAATATATTTATTTTACTTCGCCCACGAAAGGGACAAGGCATCCAAGAAAGATTGGATACTATGAAAAACAATTCGGTAAAGTTGAATTCATAAGTACAATTTTTTATTGATATCAAGTATAATTTACATTTGTCATTTTACTTTGTTAGGTATTTGATGTTATCAAAACTTCTGAAGGTTTTGATGAATTATTAAACAAAATAAAACCTGTATGTGGAGATATATCTGAGGAAAATTTGGGATTATCAGATGACGATTTCAAAATGTTATGTGACAATGTTAATATTGTGGTTCATTGTGCAGCCACATTAGATTTTGAAACCGATCTTAAAACAGCTATAACAGTAAACTTATTGGGTACCAAACGTATAGTAGAGCTAAGCAAAAAAATTAAAAACCTTCAAGTAAAGATAATTATATTTTTATTATTGATAATTAAAATGCAATATTGAAAATTATTCTACTTTTTTTTAGTGTTTGTTGCATGTGTCTAGTGCCTATGTTAATAGTAATAAAAATTATGCAATGGAAAAAATTTATGATGCACCAGCGAACTATAATGATGTTATTAATTATGCTCAAACTATGGATACCGAGAAATTAAACAGCAGTGCTGAAAAGTAAGTTATTTAGTTAATATTCTATAAAACTTAAGTTAAGAAGGTACTATAAAATAAGTATGAAATAATCACATCATGAATGACATGAACTAATGCTTATTGAAATCTTAATGTTAATCATGATCTTTGAACTACAATGCTTTACAATTATATAAATATTAAACTTTTGTAAGTATTATAAAAATAACATTTATGGTTGACTTCAGTTTCATAAAAACAAAGCTGTCTACTAAAAAATAACTTTAAACAGAGTATATAAACAAAAAAAATGAATTTTAAAATAAAATTATTTAAAATTAACTATTCTATCATAAACTCAAAAGTGGATTAGAAAATTATAATTTTTTTTTAAATAGTAACCACCCTTTTTTCAGTGTTCAAAAAATAATGTTTTCACATAAATATTAATGTTTTGCATAATTTGATTTGTGACTTTCTTTTATACTAGTTATTTATGTTATTTTATGAAAATAATTTTTCAAACCTATATATAATTACTTATGTGAAATTTTTATTTTCTTAGAATTATGGGAGATCACATTAATACTTATACATTCACTAAAGCTTTGGCTGAACATGTCATTAATGATGCCAGAAATATTATTCGTACCTGTATAGTACGACCAAGCATGAGTATGTAAAATTATATTATAGTTATTTCATAAGCATAAGGGTCGACATTTTATGGTTCTTATAGTTAAAAGAAAAGTGTTTATAAAAATATTATGTATGTTGATATTTCATATGAAATGATAGTTGCTCACAATTTGATTATGAGCACTTGAAAAGCTTTGTTTATTAAATTCAATGATTTATCTTATTATTGCGTTATGATCAGGGCTCGGGACTTAAAGCATTTGCTTATTTTTATGGATTAACTTAAAATGTACCATAGTGCTATGGAAGTGTATGTCATGTTATAATACGTTTAATTATGAAGTCTGAAAGTGCTTTTTTTTGCTTGTTTCAGCGACTTTTCAAAAAAATGCTTATTTCCAGTTTTTCTAATTATTTTTGCTTATTTGACCAGTATTTTTATGTTTTTATAATGTTTTCAACTATTATAAATATCATTTACGTTTAATTTTTCAGAAAATCCTTAAAGTATCGAAAGTGAAGTTAAATTTATTTTATAATATAAAGATAAAGATTTATTTTTATTTTGTTTGATATTTTAGTTTAAATTTTAAATTTTAAATTTTTTTGCAAAAATTTAAGTTTTTAAATGCTCATTTGAGTGCTTATGATGATGTTTTTAAGAGCTTTTTTTTTTAAGCGCTTATTTTAATGATATCAAGTGTTGTAAGTCCCGAGCCCTGGTTATGATACATACATATAGTTAAAATATCATTATATTCTCTAGAACATTAAGCAAATTGGTGATTAACTAGTAATATCTATGAAAAATGAATTTGGTTTGGTTTAGACTAAATCACGGATTTATATGTATGATTGAAATATGCATGAAAAATAAAAAATATACATAAAAATATTTTTTGAACATTTATTTAACCAACATCTTTAAAATTATAGAACCCTACTATAAGTATAAATACTTTTCTGGAATAATGTCAATGGTGAATACAGAAAAGTCGTAATCAATATTTTCTTATCTTTGTAGATGTATTTTATTTTACGGATTGTTGATCTAAGATCTTAGGAAAAACCGTTTATACCTAAAAGCAAGGCTGGGCTAGTTAATGATTTTTTTWAACTCAGTTAAGTTAAGTTAAATTAAAATCTAAATCAAGTTAATAGTTAAAAGTTAATTCAAAATGTTCTATCAATTGAATTAAGTTAAGAGTTAACCAAAATTTAATATTAACTTTTTAACTCAAGTTAAGTTAAAAAAGTTTCTTGTTTTCTTATAGGTAAAATAAAAATAATTGGTAACTAAAATTGTTCATGTTATTAGATATAGTTAAATTAACTTAACTTATTAATGCCCAGCCTTGCCTAAAAGTATACCTACAATTTATTTTGATATTATTTGAAACTATAAATATGTAATGTTATTTTCTTATAATACAATAATATATATTTCAAAAATTAAAAAAACAAACAAACATTGAAATATGCTCTAAAAAATGAAATATGCAATTAAAATTATAAAATATGGCCTCAAAATAGATAAATGTCAAAATATACAAAAATATGTACTAAAATTTTAATTTTTCATGTCATAAAACAAATTGTACTTAGCATCCAATCAACCAGAATAAATAAACAAATGCATAAAAATCTATGCTCTAATTGTGACTATTAATGAGCAATGATTACAATGAAACAAAATTCTTTGATGTCTCGTTAAAATATAATATTGTATGTCGGGTTTGTCTAAAATAGAATTGTTTAGTATAAACTCTTGCTTTAAGCATAGTTAATACTATCATTAAATTTCAAGTTGAAGTAATGTGTATTGTAATTGAAAAAAGTACTTTAGTGATGTGTATGATTTTACATAATATACCTACCAATTATTCATATAAATAAAAATAATTTACTTCATAGTTGTTGCTGCATGGAAAGAACCCATTGAAGGCTGGACAGTATCAAAAAATGGTCCTCAAGGATTCATAATGGGTGCTTCAAAGGGTGTAGTAAGGCGTTTACCAGTAAACAAGTTTTTAATATATGATTATATTCCAGTAGATGTAGTAATAAATACAATGATTGCTGGTACATGGTTTAGTGCTCAATTGCCAGATAGGTAAATATTTATATTTGTATTTTAAATTAACATTATATTGTACAAACAAATTGAAATTTAATTTACTATTTGTTAAAAAAAATAATTGTATATTATTTTGTTTTCTACACTTATATGAGTAAAATTAAAAAATGTCCAATTCTATTAATGTATTATATGATATTATTGTTTTATTTGATTGTAGTACACCAACCGTAGATGGACAAACGCCAATATTTCATTCTACAACAAGCACATGTAATCCTTTCCGTTGGAATGATATCTCATCAATATTGACAACTACTTTACATAAATATCCCATACGTGGAGCTGTGTGGTATCCAAATATAAAATTTTTGCCCAATTTATTCATGTATTGGATTTCTTCGGCCATTTTTCATTTTATTCCAGCTTATATATTAGATTTTGTTACCAAAATTTTTGGTGGAAGACCAATGTGAGTATATTTTTCTGAATACATTGTAATGTATCATATACATAGATAGGCTGTTTTATATTAATTGAAATATATGCATACAGGGGCGGCTATTTCTTTTTTAGTGAATAAATTATGAGATGATCAGAATTTGGAGTAGTTATGAACTTAACAATAATTAAATATTAATTACAAATAATTTAGAAAATACTCATTATTTACTATTTTAATTATTTATACTGATCAAACTATCATGGACTGTAGACAACAAAATAAATATATTTTTTTTTTTTCATGTTTTTGTATCGAAACGACCCCAAGGTCTTCATCAACTTTTTTTTCACTTTGGGAGGGATAGAGTGTGTGTAGCTCTTGTACCCTCTTCTCTAAGAAGAGAATATACACGTGTGTGGACATCACTCCCAGTGGAGTGGGTCCGGTGGGGGGCAGTATAGGCAACCAGAACGACGGCAAAATAAATATATGAATAAGTTTTCATGATGCCTTGACGTGTATCGTTAGGCATTACATAATTCCAAAATAAATCTAATAGGTTATTATTTGCATAGCCTTCACGACTGTTCATGTAGTTTTATTTTTTTAAACTATATTGTTTTTGTTTTTGGCTTTCGGTAATGTTTAGGCATTGAAAATAAAAATATAGCTTTAGGCCTATATATAACATTTCAGAAAGCTTGGGGGGTTTTAATCACCTACCCACCTTTGTAATGTAGTCTGTCCCTGACCGCATATACTTCTTGGTGTTAAGTGGTTATAATATTTTGATATTATAATTTACCAGCCTTGTACGATTACATAAAAATGTGAACCGATCACTCAGCAAACTTGCACCATTTATTTTTAACGAATGGAAATTTGATAATGCCCGTACACTTTGTCTACAAGAAGAATTAAGTGTGGACGACCAATCTACATTTTACATTGATCCTACATCCTTAAATTGGACTCCATATTTTATAAACCTCACATTAGGTGTACGGAAATATTTACACAAAGAAAGTGATAAAACAATGAAACAAGCTATAAAGAAAAATTTTATGTAAGTATTTGAAGTTTTATATTCAATTTTATTTTATTTTAACTACATATGTTATTTTATAGGTTGATGTTGGCTAATACTGGTATTCAGTTATTGGTAGTGACTGGAATTTGGTATTTATCTTCATTCATAACTGGTACACCATTCTTATCCAACTATTGGGCTGCATTAATAGTTGTTGTTTTCGGATATATTTTTTAAGTTCACTAATTGATATAATAGTAGTTAATAGTTTTCAATATGGATTGGCTTTGGTTTGTAATTTATAAAAAATACCATTGAAGTAATTAAATCATTATATATATATTTATTTATAATTGTATTAAATAATTCAGTATTATATTATTTATATATTATATTCTTTTTATACTCGTAATTCTTGAAGTATTAAATTTAAATTGGTTTTGTTAATTTTTTTTACTGCTAAACTAGAATAAACATTTTATTAAGACTATTATTTTATATTATATGTTTATTTAAGTGAAACTTTTTTAGCCACGGTAGCATGAGTCAAATTCATGGGTTCAGCTGTTGTGACTAAACAATATTACTGTCGTGGCTTACTTGGCATTAAGGTTTTTTTATGTTACTGATAATTAATAATCCATCGTCCCATTTTTGAATGGTAATAATTTCAAATTTCAAACTTTTATTTTTCAAACTGTCTGTAAAAAAGTTTCATTTAATTTGTATGTACTATAATATTACCATGCACTTTTTTATTTTTATTTTTCATCTTCTAAAATTTCAGTTTTTGTTTTTAATACACATCTGTAGTTAAGAAACTTTCATTGACATTAATATTAAGTTATGACTTAAAATGTAACAAATTTTAATTAATTTAAATGTTTTTGTTCATTATTTAATATTATTAAGTTGATTCTTTTTAGAAATCTAGAATTTTAAATATTTATTAAATACTCGGTTATCAATTATAATTTCCAAAAAAACTTTTTATATATCATCAATTATTTTAAAGGTTGACAAATGCTCAATTTTGGAAAAATGTGTGTTGGAATACTTGACTACTACATATTTTTTATTTCCAACAGTCATCCAGATGCTAATGGAGCAGGCCACTAAAAATTTCTCAGTATTTTATAGGACTAGTTCCTGCTAGGCTTTTATCCATAAATATTATAAGAATGGATTGGACATTGAGCTTTTATTAACTGAGAATAAAGTGATAACATTTTTGAGGTTATAAATGTTTCTTAATTATTGATAGATATAGCAAACAGTTAGCAATCAGGAGAGGAATTTTAAAACTATATAAATTTATAATATAGTGTAAAATGTAAAATATATTATTTCAAATTTTTATCAAAGATAACATAAGAATCTTAAATTATCAATTTTTAAAACCTAATTTCAAAAAAGAATTCTTATATTATATCTCTCTTGTAGATATTGCACTTTCTCTCTTCCCCAAAAAATTCCGTAACCTTTGCAAAACCAGTATACGCGTAACGCGTGTCCTATCCATTTTTATAATATCTATGTTTTTATCGGAAAAATAAATGTAAAAACTATAAATATTTTGATCGCCAATATTTCCAAAAAAAATACCCATTTATAAAAATCTGTGAATTTGAATTTATAGAAATAGATTGAAATTAATAATTACATAATTTTGAGTACTAGACTTATGAACTAATCTAAAAAGTTAAAAATATAAAGATAACTTTATAATTATAAATTAATAAATTATAATGTAAAAATTTGGTTTTACTTAAATCCATCTTGAAAAACAAATGTATTATTCTGAGAAATGTGTAAGTTGTTAAACACAGAAATTTAACATTTTTTATTACAGGATTGCCTGTGATTACAAAAATAAAAGACTTGTAAAATATCTATATATTTAAATATGGAGTTCTGTCTGTCTATCCTTCATGCATTCCTAAACTGCTGGACCACCAAATTCGGTACTGAGATATATTAGACCAATGGGCAGATGATAGGCCTGATTCCAGGAGGTGCTCAGACATTTTGAGATTTCCAATTAACATTTCTGTTTATTTATAATTGGTTGCTATTACTGATGGTTATATATATATAGATTATGATAAATAAAAGTTGCTAATATCTAGTTGCGATGAGAAATTATAAATAGTTTAAAATATGAATTGGTCTTTTCTAATTTCTATGTAATTCTTTCAAATTAACTTTTCCGCCAGCATAGCACATACTTGGTGCCTCATTCTTAAATTTGAATGCGCTACATTATATTTATAATTTATCCATTTTTCCAATAATCATGCTTGGATGAATACTGTAATTATAATTATACCAAATTTTATAGCAATCAGTCCACCAAAATACCAAATGCCAAATGGAATTGGAATGCCTATATGCATAAACACAGACATTTCTATAGCTATCTCGTTAGAAAAATAGAAGATATAGCCTGAGTCATAAAATAGGTAGGACTTTTAACGGGCTACAAAGAGGATGGGCTCAGCTAGTATTCATATATAAATTGATGTATGTTAACTATAGTTTAAATCATGCATTACACGACCAATTTTAGCAAGTTTCAAAGATTGTTTTTAGAAAAGTTTTGAGAATAGTTTGAAAAATATCTAGTGATATCTCCCATCTACCTTAGTCGTGTTCCCATTATGGTTTAGAACACAAAAATTGATTATTCCGTAATTTAAACCAAGATACACCTATAAGACTATATTATGTAGCATTAGATTCTGAGCGGAGCGATAAATGTATTGATTTTACCATGTTGTGTGTGTGTTTTTTTTTTGTGTGTGTCATCACATTTTGGGGCAGTAAAAGTGCTTCGATTTTTGACWTCAGTACCTCGTTCGATCAGAAAGTGAATCTTGGTACATTGGGGGTTCAAAAGTGAAAAATTCTTAATTTTCTAAATAATCGAGAAAAACAAACTAAAAATTAAGGGTAAAACGGGAGATTTTACGCACACTCAGTTTTCGACAAAATCTATTTTGGTTTTTTATGTAACTTTAAAACAAATAACCATAGATACATGACATTTTCACTGAATGTTTATATAAATATATTCTATCCACCATGCAATTTTCAAAAACTTTCGACAAAGTCTAACTATTCATAGGCATTTGAAATTTTCGATCATTGTTAGTTTTTTTTAAATTAATATCGATAAAAATTTATTTGTTAGGCAGAAAAGCTTGAAAATKTAATACAAGGCTCTTAACATATTGTTACAACAGCAGTTGAAAAATAAAATAAATTCAGTCACAATTTTTTTTTTATAAGCATTCAAAGTTTGAATTTTGACAAAATACG